CTACCAAATGTAGAAGGCAGAAGATCAAGACCCACCACCCTAATTCAATTTTCAATCAAGCCGACAGATGTAGGTTCTGTTTGGCGCTTTTTTTTTTGCGTGATTTATCAGGTTTAGAAGCTCAGCAGACTGTGTTTTGGTCTTTTCTTTTTTTCTTTTTGTTGAGAGAAGATATAGCCACTGAAAATTGCATTATAAAAGGATGCAAGAAGCCTATTTTGACTTAATTCAGAAAGTTTCAATTGAAGTTTTTCAGCTTTTTTTGTCTCATCTTTGCACAGGAAGACGTGCCTCCAACCAAATAATTTGTGGGTTGTCAAGATCTTTATGTAAAAGCCCATTAACCATTTGGCAAGTCTTTTTTAGAAGATCTTTCGGCAGACTTTACAACCAAAAGACAATGTCAGCTTTTGCATTAATATCTTAGTAGTTTGAAGACCGTTTGGTTAAGGTACGTCTTTCCACGCGAAGACAAGTTGAAAAAGCTAAAAATTCCATTTGGAGCTTCCCAAAAAACCCAAAACGGACTTCTTGTATCTTTTTGGGAATGTGGCTTTCGATGGCTAGGTGGTTGTTTGGCATCGATGTCATGTTGTTTTTTGAGAAAATGGCACTATTAGGGATGGCAATTTTCTCCATCCCTGACGAGGACCCGACTTCCCCAACCCGATGGGGGTTTTGGCGGGTCGGAGACGGGGACGGGCATCAATAGGAATCCCCGATCAGGGTCGAGGTTGGGGATGGGGATTGAGATCCCCGCCCCGCCCTGACCTCGATTATGTATCACACACACACACACACATATATATATATATATATATATATATATATATATATATCAAAACATATTTAAAAAATTATTTATAATTTAAAATTTTTATTTATTTTGAGTAATTTTTTTTCAAATAAATACTGTTATTTAAAAAGAATTCAGGGATGGGCTCGTGGGGAACCCATCCCCGTCGGGGATCGGGGATGGAGGACAAATTTTATCCCCGATAGGGATTGGGGATGGGGGTGGGGGTTAATTTCATAATCGGGGTCGGGGACGAGGAATATGATCCCTGCCCCGTTGCCATTCCTAGGCGCCATGTAGGTGTCACACCAGAAAATGTGGTGCTTCAAGAAATGACATCTTATTTGATACCATTTTTCCATAAAAAACGTTGGTTCAAACCACGCTTTGGAATTCGGGAAAGTATAGTCTGAAGCAATGCCAAATTTGACATTTTCTCATAAAATAGCTTTTTACTGCCAGCGGTGCAATAATGTGGCATCATCTTGGACATTGGATAACATGACCAATGGTGAAAACAGTTCTATAGCACTAGTACCAAACAAAACCAATGCTATTTTCATAGAAAATAGTCTATGTGGCAACACCACTTCCAAACAAAAAATTGTGTGGTGTTTACAACTCACACATGCCCAAAAAATGGTGTTATGTTCACCTTCTAGATCTTTTTTTCCATTTGATTGGAAAAAAGACCAGGGGTTGTCGGACTGAGCCCAAATTATTGCAGCCACACATCTCTCAATTCATAATAGAGATGGGTGACTTCAATTCACGGCGGGTAAAGAGTGGGTAGGAAAAGTGAGTAAGAAATCCCTAGTGTGTCAAACTTCTAAAAAACCGATAGCCTGCACATGCACGCACTCGAGATTTCCTACCCACTCCCTACCCGTCGTGAATTGGAGCCACACATTTCTATTATGAATTAAGAGACGTGTGGCTGCAATTCAAGGCGGATAGGGAGTGAGCAGGAAAAGTGAGTAGGAAATCTGGAGATGCACGAAACGAGGTCGTACGTCTTTTCTCAAAGCCATATCAAAGGGAAAATCTATGGTGTGGAAAAGATATGGTATGGGAAGAGTTTTGACCAATCAAAACCTACCCATGAATTTTGACAAATAACACCTGATTGGCTACCACATTTATGATTCCAATTGACTGGTCATAAGTTTTTTTCAGATATCATATCTTTTCCATATCATACTCGAACCCCATATCAAAAGCAATAGCCAATAGCTATCAACAACCCTATCTCACTGTACTAAAAGCAATAGCCAATGAACTTTTCCGTTTGATCTATTAGGCTTTCGAAAAAGGTATTTAGATGGCACAAAGATTACTAAGGGCTTGTTTGGCACGTCTTTTTGGGAAGATCTTCTGGTAGCTCTGACAGTCAAAAGACACATTAAGCTTTTACATGAATATCTGAACAGCCTGAAGCACATCTGGTAGATGCATGTCTTTCTATGCATCTTTTCGCATGGGAATAAAACGTGAAAGACGCAAGAAGCTTCATTTGGAGCTTTCCGAAATCAATCCAAAATAGGCTTTTCGTATTTTTTCAGTGTTCCGTCTTTTGACAACTAGATCTTCTGCGTGCAAAACGGAAATAGACCGAACATCAATCTTCTTAGCTTATAAACAAGACCCGCGAAAAGACACGGCAAAAGCAGCCTAAATTTTGGTATTTCGGTCTTTTCATATCCATGCATGCATTTTATGGGCTTTCCGGCTTTTGGCTATCAAAAAAACTAATTTTCGGTTACTTAAAGCCCCAAACATGAAAAGCATTAATTGCCAATGTTAAAGAATAAAGTGAAATGTTAGAGAGAGAGATGGATTTGGTAATGGAGCACTCAGTTGCAATTTATTGGGTCAACGGTAAGATGAGTTTTGTTAGAACAGCATAAACTTCACAAGTCTTTTTTCATTTTCTTTGCACAAACCTCTAGTGTTTGACAAGACGATGGTTATTACCCAGTTCAAATTGAAAAAAGGTGATTCTGGGAAAACTAACGAACATCATTTGTGAATTGTGATTGGGTACCACCACTTCCACTTGTAGAAATTCTATAAAAATAGTGTTTGAAAGCCGTGCTCGCCACGGTTCTTACCAAATGTAGAAGGCAGAAGACCAAGACCCACCACCCTATTTCAATTTTCAAATTTCAATCAAGCCGACAGATGAAAGTTCTGTTTGGCGCTTTTTTTTGCGCGATTTATCTGGTTTAAAAGTTCAGCAGCCTATGTTTTGGTCTTTTTTTTTTTTTTTGAGAAGATTTAGCCACCAAAGATTGCATTATAAAAAGATGCAAGAAGCCCATTTTGATTTAATTCAGGAAGTTTCAATTGAAGTTTTTCAGCTTTTTTTGTCTTGTCTTTGCACAGAAAGACGTGCCACCAACCAAATAGTTTGTGGATTGTCAAGATCTTTATGTAAAAGCCCACTAATCATTTGGCAAGTCTTTTTTAAAAGATCTTTCGGCAACCTAACAACCAAAAGACAATATGAGTTTTTGCATTAAGATCTTAGCAGCTTGAAGACCGTTTGGTTAAGGTACGTCTTTTCACGTGAAGACAAGTTGAAAAAAGGCTAAAAGCTTCATTTGGAGCTTCTCGAAAATAGTTTAAAACAGACTTCTTGCGTCTTTTTGGGGATGCGGCTTTCAATGGCTAGGTGGGTGTTTGGCATCGATGTCATGTTGTTTTTTGTGAAAACGGCGCCATTAGGGATGGCAATTTTCCCCATTCCCGACGAGGACCCGACTTCCTCGACCCGATGGGGGTTTTGGCGGGTCGGAGATGGGGACAGGGATCAATAGGAATCCCCGATCGGGGTTGAGGTCAGGGATGGGGATTGAGGTCCCCACCCCGCCTTGACCCGGATTATGTATAATATTTAAAAAATTATTTATAATTTAAAACTTTTATTTATTTTAATTATTTTTTCAAATAAATACCGTTATTTAAAAAGAATTCGGGGATTCGGGTCCCTGTGGGGGAACCCATCCCCATCTGAGATCGAGGATTGAGGACAAATTTTATCCCCGATGGGGATCGGGGACGGGGGTTAATTTCATAATCGGGGTCGGGGATGGGGAATATGATCCCCGCCCCGAACCCGCCTGTTGCCATTCCTAGGCGCCATGTAGGCACCACACCAGAAAATGTGGTGCTTCAAAAAACGACATCTTATTTGATACCATTTTTCATAAAAAAACGTTGCTTCAAACCACGCTTGGAATTCGGAAAAGTATAGTTTGAAGCAATGCCAAATTTGATGTTTTCTCATAAAATAACTCGTTATTGCCAGTAGTGCAATAATGTGACATCATCTTGGACGTTGAATAATATGACCAATGTTGAAAACAATTCTATAACACTAATACCAAACAAAACCAATGCTATTTTCCCAGAAAATAGCCTATGTGGCAACACCACTTCCAAACAAAAAATGGTGTAGTGTTTACAAGTCACACATGCCCAACATTGTTTTTATGAAAAAATGGTGCGATGTTCCCAGCACCGGTGCCAAACACCCATGCTTTGGTTTTTAATCAAAATAAATTAAGTTGTAATGACTAATTTACCCATTGTCATGGTAACGTGGCATCTCTAAAAATTCTCTCAAACAGTATAGGCTGTTGGCCCAACAGCTAAAGTTTTTTCCAGGTCGTACGTCTTTTCTCAAAGCCATATCAAAAGGGAAAAACTTTAGCTGTTGTGATGAGAGAAATTCTGAGAATGCCACGTTACCATGAGAATGGGTAAATTAGTAACTACGTATCAGTTTATTTTTACTAAAAACCAAAGCATGGGCGTGAATAGGTCCAGTAGTCTATGCTGAATAGCTATCAACAACCCTACCTCACTGTACTAAATAGAAACCCAAATCTTGAATCACATCAATTCCCATTATGGCAATTAAATCAACTCCGTTTGGATTCGTTTCACCACATTTATTTCATAAATTAACAATATATTTTAGTTTCTTTATTTGTCCTTCATGAATTCTCCTCTTCACTCCAAATGCATATTTCGTGAATAGAAATAGAAATTACTCCCATCACTCCTGCTTTATTCCCTTCCTTGTTCTCTATCTATATATTCAGTATCTCGTCGATCGATTTCATTCTGCGTTATTCATTGCCCTCTTACTTTAATCTTGTATTACATATCCAGCTATCGATCCAAGCTATATATGAAAATGAATGAAAAGAGTACTGGTCATGCAGGCCATGGCTGTGCTGCATGCAAGCACCAGCGGAAGAAGTGTAAGAAAGGCTGCCCCTTGGCGCAGTATTTTCCTGCTAAACTGTATCAAGACTTTGTCAACGTTCACAAACTGTATGGTGTTGCCAACATCGTAAGGATTTTGAGAAACATAGAGCCATATCAAAGGAAAGCAGCCGCTCAGTCAATAATGTTCGAGGCTGAGGCAAGAAGGGTTGATCCAGTGCTGGGTTCCTTCGGTCTTGTCCACAAACTTATTTCCCAGATAGATGCTTACAAGAAGGAGCTTCATATCATCAACCAACAACTATCTTACTATCGACAACAGGAAGAATCCCAGAAGCTACAACAGTTACGATGGTTTCAAATTGCTTCATCTTCATCACTGGTAAGAAAATGGTGTGTTGTGTAGCCATCATTAATCCTGTTGATTTTATTTTTACTATTTAATTCATCTCATGATTCCTGCTTCCCAGAAATAAAATAGGTTGATTCATGGAAGTAATTAGCACTTAGCAAGCTCTGTGTATCTTGACAGCCAATTAATGCTTATAATGGAGGAAGCATGGAAAACTTTGGTGATGATCAAACCGCAAATGCTTACACTAGTTTCATTTTACAAGAATTTGAAGACATTAAGCCTCCTTTCGATTTCAACTCCTCTGATCAAGAAATAAATGTTTATTTCAATAACATGCCTCCTGCAAACAATAATGTGCAAGTATTCAGGTAAATTAACTAGTTCAATTTTCTTTTCCTTGCCTGTACGTATCTAATTCTACGAATTTATTCGCATTGTGGATAAGGATTAGATAGCACCAAATATGTCTTCTAATAGATAGAATACATGTAGTTGCATGATAACCCGGTCTTGAGATGTTTAATTATTAGAAGTTAGAACGTCGTCTCAAAGAATGAGGCACTTTCTGCTTGCAAGTAAAAGAGCCAAACTTAATAGTGCAAATTTAAACCGAATACAAATTTTGCACTGGTTCAGTATTGCATCCGTTTGTTTTTAAATATGAGTTATGCTCCTATCTATTATACATTAAGTTATACTTTTACTCTCATTTGTATTTGTTAGAAACGCAAATCTTGCATCTCGAAAATTGATGCAAAGTGGGGATCGCACCATCTTACTTTCTACCTCACTCCCAAATACAAGTGATTCTCTCCTTACCTCCCTTTTTCTTTTATATAAGGTGGGAAGTGGGAACCACATCATTTTACAAGGGTGCAAGCGGGGAACCCCATTTGAACAATTTACAAAGCATCGGGCCCAAAAAGCATTCAAAATTCAGTAAATCATCAGCCCGAGCCCACCCAAATTGCCCCTAATTTTACTTCTCACAAGCAAGACAATGGAGTTGGGATATGCTTCTCACAGAGTGCACCTCATACCGACCTTACAACACATTTCAACTATGCATTAGAAACATCTTCCCATGAATAAATATTTTCAAGTAGGAAGTTATTTCAGATGCACGGCTAAACGTGCTGTGATCAGGTCAGTGTGAGATGCATTCTGTGAGGAACAGATCCCAATTCAAATCATAAGCATAAGTGAAGCAAAATTTACACCTAGCTTGTTTGCACTTTCATACATTTACAGTACTAATGCAAAAAATTTGCACTATATATATGAACAAACTGAGCCTAGGTTCACCAAAAAAACACGATACCAGTTTCTGGTTGTTGTAACAAAATCGTTGAATATGATATTCATAATGCACTAGGATAAATATAGGCACAAACATTAAAAACAAACTATTTCTCATTTATCTTCGAGTTGTGTCAATTTGTTGGTGATTAATTATTTTACTCCATTAATTAATGAATTGTATGTAGTTTTGATTCAACGCCTGAAGAAAAAGTCAGTGATGATCATCAACCATGTTCAGCGGAAAAGCCAAAATATATATGTGATTACAGTATCTTCTCCCACCAACAAGGCCTGCAAGATACAGAAGTAACGTATGGAAAACAAAGTGGAGGCGGCATGCAATTTCCACAACCAAAAATTTAGAATAAGGTAGCTGCTAATAAGCTTATGGTAGATTCCATTCTTCAGCTTTAAAGAAGAAAAAACAAAGGCATATAGTGACAACTTACATTTCTTTAATTAATATTGAGTGCTCTCTTGTTTGTACTGTTGTGCCATATATTGAATCCCATATTATTCTCGTTACTTCAAATGCAGCTTGTTAAATTGTTATAGAGAGAGAGAGAGAGACAGATTACTCATCATTTCTTCTCTCTTTTTCTGGATGAGAGGTAGTGTTTTTATTATTCCATTATTTCAAATGAATGTATTTTTAGCAAAATTCCAATTTTGAAGAAAAATGGAACTAGTCACCTGACCATCCGGTCCAGTCTTAAAAACCATGGTGCCCAAGACAGCTCAAAGAGCAGCCTAGACCAAACTTTCTCCATTGACAGCCATATATATATATATATATATATATATATATATATATATATATATTCTCTCTCTCTCTCTACTTTTTTTTCTCGCTTTGATAAAACGTTTATTAATTTGAAAAAATAAAATAATATGTGATATGGATGCATCGAGTATGTTATTTCTCACAAAATAAGAGTATTGTGAGAGGTCCTGCAACTGCAAGCAGTGTTTGATGTTTGTGGACCAGCCTAGCTCCCATCCGCAACTTCCTCGTAACATATAACCTAGAATGCAAATTATTTGATTTTTTTGGGTAGAGAAAATTAAGCAAATTAATTGATTATATACCTTTATTTGAGCCCCTACATCATCATACTCGGGGAACATTAATTCCACATACAGTATTCTTCACAAGGCTAAGAGAGTGGAGCGTAGTGCTAGCTAGCTAGCTATCCTTCCTCGTTCCACCAAATTAATTTTAATGGCTGTCAACATTAAACACTAAGTCAAGGCTCTTCATTCTCCTTTTTTACTTAATTTTCTGAAAAAATAATAAAAATGGAAACTTTAGATGTCAACAAGACTGACCAAAATCCAAAAGGTTGAATAATTAAAAAGAAAAAAATAAATAACCAAAAGCAGAAGAAAAGAATAAATTCATAAACTATTGGGAACATGGACTGGGCCCTGGGCCCTGGGGTGATAGAAAGTAGAAATAGGTCGGTCGGTCTCTACCTAAAACGTAAAGCCTCTTGCTCTAGAGTTTGAGGGCAGGGGACAGGGGCCCGGCGCCAACCCATTCACACCCTATTAATGGAACTGACCCATCTTTACTAACCTTTCATGCATAAAATCAAGAATCATGTGAACCCTTTTTGGATTCATCTTCTTCTTCACTCTCTCTCTCTCTCTCTCTCTCCATATATATTTAAATCTATCAGATCAGATCTCCTCTTGTCATTTTCTAACCCAACAGCATGCGAAACCCAATCTTCAATTTGCTCATCAGCAGTTGTAGAAGAAGGTGATGACGAAAAAGTAGTAGTGGACTGGACACCCCCACCCCCAAGTATCTGATAAATGATGAAAATTAAACCCTGCAGACTTCAAATGCGTTGAGTAAGCAAATTAATAATTCATGTAGAGAACAAAATAAACAAAAACAATAAATAGTGATAATTATTACAAACAATGAAGATTTTCTCCATCAAAATGGATAATAAAACTAAATATCGAGATACAGCCACACGGTTGAATTAATATAAAACTAATTAATATAGCTAGCTAGGCAGATTCTCCATTAATGGATGGGACTCGGGTCGTCGCATGGCTAGCTAGAAATTTAATTTAATTTAATTTAAGAGGCAATCCATCATCTAGAGCTCAGCTGCTGCTAGTGAAGTTGGGGGTATCCTCTGACAGAGAAGGAGAAGAATCAGAAGAGGGCCCAATATTTAGGGGAGAAACAGAAAGGGTCGTCCTCAGGTTTCTACGTCCCCTCGCCCTGATATCGTCGATCATCCTATGCACCACACTCATCTTAGGACGATCTTGTGGCATTGGGGCCAAGCAAAGCAAGGCCACTTGCAGCAGGGCCATCATCTCTTCTTCCATGCCTTTGTATCGCAGTAGCTCAATATCAAACACCTCCGACGTCCATTCCTCTCTCACAACACGCTGCACCCACTTGGCTAGACATGTTTCTCCTTCGCTTATTGTTGCCATTTTCCCTGTCAGTATCTCCAGCAGAATGACTCCGAAGCTATAAACATCGGATTTATTGCTGATTTTCCTTGAGTTGTTTATGTTGCAGTTGTTATTAAGCGTTAATTCCGGGGCCTTGTACGCATTGTTTGATGATGTTGATGGTGCGAGGAAGAGCTGGTGCAGCGCGAAGTCAGAAATGCAGGCATTCCCCGCTTGATCAATAATGATGTTCGACGATGTCAGGTGTCCGTGTTCCAGCTTCGATTTGCATTCGCTGTGCAGGAATGCCAGTCCCTTAGCTGAGTCAGACACCAGTTTAAGCCTTGTAGTCCAATCTAGTGGAGTTCTTCCGGGTCCTCGATTTCCTGCAACGTTCTTCAATTCTCTGTTAGTTCGTCACTGATTCAAAGAAGAAATTGCATGGAGCTTGGGAATTATTAGATCCTCAATTCATTCTCTGACTGTAAATTTCATCATTCAGGCTTACATCTTTTATTCATAATAATTCATAGAAGAAGAAGAAGAAGAAGAAGAAGAAGAAGGAATGATATTCAAGTAGGTAGTGAACAAACAGAAACAGACCGTGTAAGAGAGAGTAGAGGCTTCCATTTGGGAGGTAATCGTAGACAAGCAGCAACTCTTCTTTGGAGCACAAGTAAGCTCTGAGGTTGACGATATTGGAATGTCTCAGCCTACCAATCTCTCTCAGCAACCCATCGAACTCCTTCCTCTTCCTCCTTTCCCTCGCCCGCTTCACCACGAAGACATCCCCACCGTCCATCACTACTTTGTAAGTGGTCCCTACAATCCCCTTCCCCAGCATCTCCGCCGAAGATTTCAAAAGATCATCCACTCTTAGACCCTTTTTGCACCCTTCGAAGATGACCGTCTCCTCATCCTCACGCAGGCTCCATCCGCGGTACCTTCCTTCATACCCATACCCGTGTCTCTTCTCTGGTTCTCTCCTCATTTTCTCTCCGCCAACGCCTCTCTGATAATGTCTGGTTCGTCGCTTCCAGCAGCAGTAGAAAACAACAATCACCGCCACGACCACCGACACATCCACAACTACAATGGCAAGTACTACACGATGACTCAGCTTCTTTCCTTGTTCCTGGGAGATCTTCACTGGGACCGGATCACTCAGGATCGTTCGATTCGAGCACTTGTACGGTAACGGCTTCCCGCAGAGATTCTTGTTGTCGGCAAATGAAGAAGCTGCGAACGAGGAAAGAGATACCGGAATTTGGCCGGAAAGATTGTTGCTTGAAACGTTCAAGTCTATAACCGGGACAAAGAGCGAGGATAGTGTTCCACTGAAAGAATTGGCTTCCAGGCGAAGAGTTAGCAAGTGCGGCAAGCGGTTAAGCTCGACCATGGGAATGTGACCTGAGAGACGGTTGTGGGAGAGGTCGAGGCGGCGGAGACGATGGAGCTGGGAAATGCCAGCGGGAAAGTTACCGGAGAATTGGTTGTGGGAGAGGAAGAGCAGCTTCATGTTGGTCCAGGGGGAGAAGTTCAAGGAGGAAGAGGAGAGGACATTGTTTTTGAGGCTGAGAAGTCTGAGGTGGGTGAGGGGAGTTAGGCTGTGGATGGGGCCGGTAAGGTTGAGATTCTGGAGGATGAGGCGGGTAACACGGCGGTTGTTTTTGCTGCAGCTGACGCCGAGCCATGAGCCGGAGCAGGGGTCTGACGAGTTGGACCAGGAGGAGAGGGAGTTGAAGTGGTCAGAAGCAGACTTGAAATCTAAAAGCGCGTCGAAATCAGGATTACAGAAGGAGAGAGAACAGAGGGACAGAAAGGAGAAGAAGAAGGAGAGCAGGAAGACTGTGAGCAGAGTCCAGAGCTTCATGGGTGCTCTCGTAAGTTGCTCTGTTCCTTGTGTGCGGGAGGTGAGGGTTTAGGTAGAGAGAAAACAAAACAAGGGAGACAGTTCTGTACTAGTTCATATAATAGAAGGAAAAGAAAAGGACAAAAAGGTAAAATGACGTTTATTAACGTTACATTAGGAATTTAGGATTTGGGAGTCTGGACAAGTGGCTAATATGCAATGCAGGCTAGCAGTAAAAATTAAAGGAAAAAAAAGGTTAAAAGAAACGATGGATAAACCGCTGGATGCAATCTGGATTGTTCGAATCGAACTGCGAGGAATTTTTCAGCGTACAGATGCATCATGCACCGTAACAGGTCGGGTTGAGAATGGACCCGAATTGATAATACCCGACCCATTTTGGGCGTCAGTGCAAGATGTGGGGCTGATAAAAAGTGGAATATTAATGAATATAATAACTAACTCAGTCCGAGTATGGTACGAAAAAGGGATAGGGTAAATATTTCTAGAAAAGATACAAAGTTTTTTTTTTTTAATATTGTTTTTTTCTGGTGGAGATGAAATAGCCTGATGTCGGGAAAACTTTTGACTTCTCCATGTTCAACTGCCTCGGCAAGTCTGTGTGAACCCGGTTGAAAATTTAGCTAACATTTTACACTGCTTCGAGTTCAGATTTTGAACCAGGTCTGTTAAGCCTAAGCCCAATTCATGAACAAGTCTACAGTTTGGAATATGGAATAGAAGCTGAAAATATTCTAAGCTTACACATGCATTATCAAAACTTGGGCAACATGATAAGAAAGATATTGGGATGGATGATCATTCCGCCCCTAAAAAGTTGATTAGAAATCAATAATATCCCTGAATTTTAAGTCATTTTTTTTAAGTTTAAAATCTCTTTAGTATTTTTCTTTCAATAACATCACCATCACCATCTAAAAGGTCATCAAATGGCCCCTTAATATCTATCTATATAAATTATTTTAAATGCTGATTCCATGGAAGTTTAAGAATGACATATAACACAACATATTCCAAATTTATAATGTATTGACATTGCACAAAAATCTGGCCCCCCCCCCCCACCCCCACATGATTGGACACATACAAAACCTGACCCACCCTATCCTGGTACATGTCGGGATAGTTAATTAAACAATTTTAGAATCCGTTTGTGGCTCATCTAGCTTGATGAATATTATTCTTTCTTCTAAAATAAACCTACAATCAACTTTTTTTTCTCACCTAATTTCATAATTTACAACTCCACTCAAATGGTTAATGTTATTGGGGTGACAAGTTCTCAATTAAGAACAACCACTCAACAAAAGAACACAAAATTCCAAAGGTAGGTTATGTCCATATCTAACCTACCCCTTTCAAGACCCAAAATAGCTGGTAGGAATAGTGCTAGGGTAATTGTCTTTACCTTGACTAAAAGTATTACAAAGTACAAAATTTATCAAGAGCCAGCCAGGATTTTCTCATGGAGGGGGCACCATATAAATTTTCAGAGAAAAGAGGACCACTATATTAGGACATGGGCCACCTCCTATAAGGGTACACTCAAAACTTTTTTCCCCAACATTAAAATCTACATTAATTATAATTTTGCCCCATAAGACAAGTGATGCAACTAAAGGTTTTAACCCTATTCCAAATCAAGAGACTAGAGGTGCTCACAATTTGGTTAATCGTTGGCCTTTTTTATAAACTTTACTGGTCTTTTAGTTTCTGAAAAATCGAAAATCAAAACCAATCAATTAATCAGTTCACTTCATTTTTTGGTTTTTTTAAATTTATAATATACATTATCAATAAATATATAATTATAATATAAATACCAAAAATATATGCAATATATTATATTATTAATAATATATAATATATAGACATTGATCTATTTGATTAATTGTTGGTTTTTTGTATTAGTTTACCGAAATCAAACTAGTATTGATGGAGGGTGATTTGACCCAACCTCCTGAGAAGGTGACACGTGGACGTGACTCAACACAAGCGATAACTCAGCATAACAGTCTGGCTGCGACTAAGTAACGAGCTCGCAGAACAGCTTGCTACATTACAGCTCGCCACAAGATGAGCTCGCTACAGCGCGAGCTCAAGGACCCCCGATGTACTGAAAGGGAATACTCTAAGACAAGTCTATCCCAGCTCGCGAGCTAGGATAACCAGCTCACTCCAATACTTAGGTAGGAGAATTGCCCCAAAGGCAACATCAGGCGGAATCACCTCAAAGTACCTCTAGGAGCTTGCTACAAGGCAGCTCGTAACGGGATAGCTCGCTACTAAGCGACGCGACATTTTTAGGAAGCTTCTATCTGACAAAACCGTACCCATCAGGCTGCATCACGTCTCTTGACTAACGGTGCAGTCCCTGCCAGTCCGACAGACTGCACTCACGTCTCTCGATAGGTAGTGGCGTGTCTGTCTTTTCCAGGACGTGTCACTCATCCGATTGGGTAGTACTCTGCAACGGTTACCTGCGCAGCCCTGGCAAATAACGGCTGCAACAGAGATTCGGTGGCGGTTATGCCCGATTTGACAAGAACGCCCATATTTAAGAGCCCCATGATCGAAGGGGAAAAGGTATCTTGTATCTTAAGTTAATCTCAAACTTTCATTGATCTAGTGCTACCTGCACTCTTAGCTCTTTTTGCATTCCTTACCGCTCTCTCAAGTGTTCTAACTTAAGCATCGGAGTATTCCCACCGGGCAAGTCCCCCGGGAATCCTTCACCGTCTTCTTCTCAGGTACCGTCCATCGTCAGTTAGGAGTATTCCCACTGACAGTCGACTGTCAATTAGGAGTGCCCGAATTGCGTAACATCAAGTATCTTCAATTTTTCCTAAACATTAAACCGGATGATTTAATTAACCGAATATTTCGATTCAGTTTCATTGGTTTGATTTGATTTTTTTTTTCATGAACACCCCTTAAGAGATGGGTATTCTACGTTCAAAACAGATATAAATAAAATAACAATTTTCTGCCATATCACAACTTAATTTAGGGCTAAAAGAGGAGTCCCCATGTTCTCTTGACCCTCAATTGATGGAAATAAATTCAGCTCAGAATTCCTTTCCACGTGTTTCAAATAAAACCTTTTCTTAATGAAGAGAAATGATATATACTTGATCCACTGGCAGTTGTTCACAGGGTGTCTTGAATATGAGCTCTAATATTTATATTTGGGCAGAGATCAAATGGGAAATGTAGATGCAACCCTTGAATGGAGGGGTTTTGTGGAGCTTAAAGTAGGGTTTTATGGCATGGTTGAAAATTGAAATGCACCAAGGATGGGCCTTTTCTTGCATGAAGAGGGACCTGCATCCCTGACACAGATGGCCCTCTAGAAATGGAACTACATGCTGTGGAGATGATAGAGCATTGAACATGTCGGACCATATTTTTGTAGGTCCTGGAAAGGACTCACTAGTTGACACGAGGAGCTGAAGAGGCATTTTGATCTGGTTCTTTGGCACTATGGACCCATCCCATTTTAGATATTACTTTTGGGCGATTGCAGTTATTTTTGCTGGGGTTATTTTTAACTAAGTGAGCATACATCTACAAAGGGAACTTCAAGTACTAGAGGCTAAAAACATTAATTGATTCCAGATGGATCAAGTGAACAGACATCTAAATACTGAGCTCGGGATGTTTTGGAACTTTGATTTGATTTATGTGGTTGGGAAAAAAGGGGAAAAGAAAAGCAAGGTATAGAGTTCATGATGTAGACTATAGGATTAGACACGTGGCTATCTCTGTATATGATGGATGGTCCAATCGGCTAGATGGTTCTTCCACATGGCTGGAGTAGGAGTAATTATGTAGGGAATATCCCTACCTGACCCAGGAAATCTTTTTCATACTAATTTATTATAAATCCTTTTTAAATGAATGCCCTAATTTATAAAAAGAAGTTTCTATATAAAGCTATGAAAGTCATGTAAAATTCTAAAGTTATTTCTGTGCTTGCCTTTCTTGTATTTATTTGTAGATTGTCAAAGTTAGACTACCTGAGGGAAAAATTATAAAAGAAATTTGTGAAGAGAATAAATGACAATACTATTAAACTGGATAGAGAAAATTGTCTTTTGGGCTTCATTTGTTTGAATGTAAAAGGGGCAGGAAATTATTAAGGGTGAAACATTTGGGCTCTGTTTTTCCATTTTTGTGATGAAAACTTTGCTATCATTGTCTAATTGTCTTTTACATAAAAATAAATTAGAATGGATGGAAAATAAAGCTTCCACTGCAAAACAGTAAAAGAGCAAAAAAATAATAACTAAAATATTTCAACTGAAAAGGCTTAAATATCTGTCTTGGAGAGAAACAAGCTCAGCCTTGACAAATTAGGAATCCACTAATTGCCTCTTGGTGCTTTTTCTGCAAACTAATCAGAAACATACATAAGAATCTGAAGGAAAGAAGGTATGTTATAGCTATATTTGACAACTTTTTCTGATTGATACACAAAACAGAGAAAGTAAAAAACATGTAATCAAAAAAACATAAGAAATTTTTCAGAACAAACTTTAGGTTGGAATGCAAATATAGATACAAGAGGAAAGAAAATGTAGTTATGACCACACTACTGTAGCCTTTGTTTGGTTGCCAAGAGACAGTGAAAGAAAAGCAAAAATTGAAGGAAAATCTCTATTTTCTTAAGGGTATATAATTGCCAAGAAAAACTTTAGTAAAACAAGCAGTTACCAGGCCCCATCTGCTACCCCACTTTGCATTTGCAATTTGCAGTAAATATTGCAGTTTCAGATAATTTTACAGGAAAAGTAACTACTATTTAAAAGACAACTTTTGGAATTAAGAATATACTGTAGTGGGTCCCTGTCAGTTTATTTAATTGGCCAATCAAACGCTTATTTTGGGATTTTCTTAAGAAAAATTCAAATTTTTCTTTCATTCTGTCATAACAAAACAAGCTATAGGAAGAGAACTGAATTTGCCTTTGCTTGATAACATAACAGCCTCCCAGTAAGGTGATGAAGACAACCTTAGAATCGTTGAAGCACCTCTTCAAAGTTGAAACATCAACCTCACCAATGACCAGACGCCATTTGCAGGCTCTCTAATCATCAAATGTTTATTAGTCTGGTATTATTGTCTTCTGTTGACGAAGATAAAACATTATTAGGACAAGTGACATATAGGAAGAGCTGGGAATTCTCTCATTGGGGGCTAAATTACGCAAAAAGAGGGAGAATATTCAACTCAACCAAAAGTCCAAATTGGTCGTTGGGCTAAAACAAATTTTTGGTATTGTTATTCTTCAATTTTGGCACTTGGTAATTGATTGATGATGAGACTAATTTGCAGTATATATGTATATATATTAAACCTGTTCATGGCCGGGCCAGGCCGGGTTTTCACTTTTCATTAACAGATTTTTTTAAGGCTCAATCCCGAGCCCGGCCCTCAAGAGAGAGTAGGGCTCATTCAAAACTAACTGGCCTAGAAAGTTAATGCTAATTTTTCTCTCAATTCCGAACCTGCCCAAATATAAATATAACGTATATATTATAACTATATTATATTTATAGTTTAAATATAAATGTACCCTAGTGAATAGTGATAATTTGCTTTTCTGTAAAATTCTAAATACAAAAAATTAAACAAAGAAAAAAAAAGCAAAAGAAAAGGGGGTAAACTAAACAGACTTCCCCGGCTTGTGTGGCAGCGGTTCATAGTAGCTGAACTGAAAAACCTATTGATTTGTCTTTTAGTAGATCAGTCATTAATTAGGGTTTTTTTTTCTTTTATTTTATTTTACTTTATCTTTTGCTTGATAGTTAAAAGTCATGAAGTAGGTTGAGAGCTCTGTCCTTGATGGCTCTGAATGTCATGTTGGGTTGGTTGATTACTATATCCCAAAATATTTCATCATACCCCTACCTTGGAGGCAAGGGCGTCCTCGATGTTCGGCTGTCATGTACTACAGTTATGGTACAAGGGTCCCATTGGCACTCAAGAGGGGCCCAGGGTGTTCAAGAGAATGTGAGGAATGAATCCCCATAAAATGTCGTTCTCCCCATTCTTCACAAGACCATAAGAAGCCCAAACAAAAATAATACTAATAATAATTGCCTGATTCTGTGATTCATCTCTCCCCCTTAGGTTTGGTGTTCCCTCATCCTCAGCTAGCCCTGGGAAATAGGAAACAAAAACAACGCGAACAGAACCAAACAGTGCTCTATTAAGGGTGGGGCTCCGCAACTGTTATTAATCACGGGTCGGCCCCTAACAGCATAAGAGTCTATTGCAGCTTCCAATCCTTGACATTGACTTCGTAACAATACTTAAAATAAACCGGTGTGAAGTAACAGCGGCTTCAGCTTTTGCCCACGCGCCCTACTCCAACCAAATAAAAAACAACATTCATCATCTTCAAGCAAATTACATTTTAGATTCATTATGTTCCAATTTCCCTCCCTTGTTTTTGAAATTCAGGAGAACAGGAATGCATGTCATTCAACTAAAACAATATAAACAAAATTTTGATGTTATTGCATTCATGCTTTTTCGCAACCAATGTTGTTTCTTCCTCTTTCAGTTCTCTTCTCTGTTTCTCAGATTTATCATGATGTTAAAAGTCCAATACACTTGAATTAAGAGACCAACTTTTCTTTTCTATCAGTTAAAAGGGGAAAAAAGATTCCAGAGAATGCCCAAGCTTAACATCCTGAATTGATTCATGGCCTGGCCCCCTTCAGTAATCCATATCATCCATTACCGGCATACGATTTGGCACTGAGCTACTTGCATCTGGATGGTCCACAACTGCTGCCTCACTTGTTGTCAATAGTAAAGATACACTGCAATTCAAAAATAAAGATTTTTCAAGTATAGTGAAGGATTATAGATCTGTAAGAATACCTACATAAATAGAATATCACCTGGCAGCATCCACTAAGGCAGTTCTGACGACCTTGAGAGGATCTATAATTCCAGCCTTCACCATGTCAACATACTCACCTGGTTCAGCACAGGAAACACCCATTGCACCAAGGTTAGCATTGTATCAATTATAATAATGTCAATAAGCAAAGCAAATAAACATTTCAACTTGTGTTACAACGAAAAAGGACCAAACCTCTAGCTGCGTCATAGCCCAGATTAAAATCTTCTTGTTCCAATAGTTTGCCAAGAACCACCGAACCATCAACACCAGCATTTGAAGCTATTGTGAATGTAGGTGCCTACAGCAAACCAGCCCTCCATTTTAAGAAACAATTTATAGATAACCATTGAAAATGACAGATATCAGAAAGGCAGCAGACCTTCACTGCATCCTGAATTATTTGGATTCCCCGTTTTTGGTCACTGTTTGAAGTTTCAAGGTTCTCCAGTGCTTTTGAAGCATACAAGAGTGCCACACCTCCACCTGTCAAAAACAATCAAGATCTGTTTGTGAATAAAGAAACATGTTTATCCATTGCATAACAATTATAATTCTACCTGGCACAATGCCCTCTTCAACAGCTGCCCGTGTAGCATTTAATGCATCCGTAACCCTATCTTTTCTTTCTCCAACCTCTGCCTCACTAGCCCCTCCTACCTGAAAAACATGGGAAAGTTTTAATATAAGCACCTAAATATTAGCCAATGCAGATTGCAGTAAGGGATAGATATAAACCTTGAAAACAGCAACACCTCCAGATAACTTTGACAACCTCTCCTGTGCCTTCTCCTTGTCAAACATGGCAGTGCTTTTCTCTATGGATGTCCTAAGCTGTTAACCATACTCGTATTAGTATTTTTCATTCTCAGCACTATTGCTTTGTTATTTATGGGTGTTCGCATGATTAAATAAACATATTCCTCTTAGCATTCGGGTTGAATAACATCATATTTACTTATTCTTCTTTTCCATTGTGCTAGGAAAACTTGGAGAGATTGGGGAGGGTAAAGGCAGGATTTGATACCAGGTCAGTGGGTGGAGACAACATCCACCAACTGTATTTCAGTTTATGAAATTTGGACACCATAGATGGAACTGCACATCCTCAGTTTTCCACTTTATAGGTGGTCTTGAGGGAAGCAGAAATGGAATTATCCGACATTGATTTTTTTTTATCAATAACTGTGAATTGTATTAGAATTATTAATATGAATGGTTACAGAGCAAGGGAGCTAAACAGTCTTAGCTCCCGGCAACAACCATTGAACACCAAAAAAACGATTACAATACAGCCCAAAATATAGAATTTCTGTTCACCCCTTGTCTAGCTAGACCATCTGCCAATGAGTTCGCACTTCTTTTAATGAGGTGTTCTGTTTCTTTGGGAGGGGGTGGAGATGCTAACCATCTTGGTTAACATCTCAACAAAGGAAATGTGGAAATCAGGAATCTCTCTACTGTTCTCTCTTGATGTGCAACCTTTTTTCCATGAATCAGAGGGGAATATCAATACTAAAGGTAACTTCAGTAACAAGCAAAATGATTTTCTGTCACGGTACATCAATTTCATCATTTCATGTCACACGTGTAAAATTAGACTGCAGCAAGAATTCCTAAAGGGAATAATGAACATATTAAGTTGTTAAGAATTAGGCATGCAATTCAGATACATGATAAGTGATAACACAGGTCTTACAACAAACAATAAACATTGGGCTATGATTTCCATCAACACAAGCAATTTCCTTGATAAATAAAGAATAAAATGAGCTAAAAATGAGGGGCCACTGCTTGGTATGGTGGTAAAATCTCAGGCTGACAAGTATGAGAATGCAGGTTTCACAAGTCTGAGAGTTGTCAATCTGCAAAAATGCTGGAGGTTAGGTCCATATCCAATCTACCCCTCCCAAGGCCCCAGATAGACAGGACAACATCGGGTAATGGCCTTAACACAGATTAGAAATAGAACACAGTAGGACAAAGAATTACCAAGTGAACTTAATTATCTTCGTATTTTCTTTTTCATTTATACTGCAGTCTTACATAAAAATAGAAAAGATCTTAATATTAAAAACATGCATGTACCCTAAGAAGGGTAACATGCTTATTGTACATATAATTCTACAGGTTAACCAAACCACTGAAAATGTATTAAAATCTAGCCAAATGTCACATTAGTCACCATAAATGTTGGGCATAATCACTGATAAACAGTTGAAGTTTTATACTTTTATTCAATTTTCTGCTCTTCACTTAGGCACCAGATAAAAAAACAAAAGCACAAAATTTTGGTTGATGAAGTGATTACCTGCTCACATCTTTCTTCAATCAGTTTCTTGTCACCACCACCATGTAGAATAATGGTGTCATCAATAGATATTGTGACCTGTTAGAAAGAAAAATAAGTTGACTCCCATAGAAGGTTAATGCAAGCAGAAATGCATATTACATACCCTTTTAGCAGTCCCAAGCATTTCAACTTGGACTTTATCAAGACTCAAACCACAATCTTCAGAGATAACCTGCATATATGTATATTGAATATTACATTATATCCCTTTAGCAAATCTACAACAAAAACACTAAGGTAGCTTATTGCATCTAACCTCTCCTCCAGTAAGAATGGCAAGATCCTCCAAATTTGCTCTCCTGTTTTCTCCAAAACCAGGGGCTTTGATGGCACAAACCTACAGTCAATGAAGAAAACACCAAAATTTTCTCTGGTGAGTTGTGAAAGCCGATAATTTAAAGATATGAACTGAGCTTGACACAGAACAGAGACAAAAGCATGAAATCATGCATGCTTGAAACAAGAATGTCATTCTTAGCAGCAGTATGCCCCGTGGAAACCACATAATCTACAATAAAAGATTATTTGAGAAAGACAAAAAAAAAAGCATCAATCACTAAAATACTGAACCCCATCACTACAAGGTACATACTGGAAGTTTTGCACCACCCAACCTGGAAATAAAATACAACAGAGAGATGGAAAATAATCGATTACCTTAACTCCAGCACGGTGTTTGTTTAATACAAGCATTGCCAGTGCATCACCTTCAACATCTTCAGCCACAACCAGAAGGGCTCTGTTCTTCTGTAATAGAAATATTGATCATGAGAAACAAGAGATTATTACTTAACTTTTAAAAGAAGTTCCTCAATCACAATTGCACAAGGTAGAATAAGATAAATGCTCTCAGGGAAAATAATCCATCATGAAGAGAGGCCATTACCCTCACAGCTAACTCCAATATTCTCACGAGTGAGTTCATGTCTGAAATTTTCTTGTCATGAATGAGAATCAGAGGATTTTCCAATTCCTGCCTACAAATGAATCGCAATATTCAAACATGTTAAACCCTCTGACCACACATTTGTGCAGTCACAAAATGTGGTTAACACCGGAAGTAAAAAGTGAAAAATGAAAGCATTTAAACCTTAGATCTCAGCTGCATCCTCCAAGCAAAAATAATTAAAGAAAAAAATGCAACTGGTCCACTCCTCCTTCCCAACACCTTAGATGGGGGGGGTTGGGATTGGGTAATGGGTAAGTAAATCTTGGATTGTGTTGGGTTTGGGAATCTATTAAATTTCAATGGTCAATGGACCTGAACCCAATATAGTAGAAATTCTTCAAACTGGGCATCCAACTTGCACCCTTTATGGCCCTTACTATATCAGCTGCATCCTTCTTTCAGAGGAATTTAAAAAATTACATAGTAAAAAATATGATGGTTCTATTGCTTTGCATAGTTGAATCTTTTACAACTCAGCAATTTGAAAGTTTCTAATAAAACCAAATAGAAACTTTTAGTAGTTGATAATTTAGAGTTTGAAGTAAAACATTGTATACAACCACAAAAATTTGATCTTTACTTACACATTTCTGAGTCTTCTCGTTAGTAATAAAATAAGGAGATATATATCCCCTAGCTAGCTTCATCCCTTCTACAACTTCCAATTCATTATCCAAAGTATTTCCATCCTGCAAAATTTACAAATTCAGACAAATTGTATCTTAGTATCAAATTGTACAAACTCCATTTGATTAGAAATAAAAATAAGTGAATATGTGCTTACAGCAACAGTGATGGCACCTTCCTTCCCAACTTTCTCCATCGCTCTGGCTATCAATTCCCCAATATCACGTTCACCATTTGCAGAGATAGTTGCCACCTGTTTTGAGATATGATCAATCAGTGCAGCGAATATGCAAGTGTAAAAACCAAATAGAGGCATATGAATAACAAACAAATTCCCCTAGAATGCAGCATTAATACAAAGTAAAAAGAGAGAAAGGTTGGAAATGGAAAATAAAAGCATTGAAGATGATAAATAACAGTAAATAAGCTTTAAATTTATTTACAAGCTTTAGTACCTGGGCAATTTCTTCTGGTGTGCATATCATCAATGCTCTGCTTTTCAAGTGAGATATGACAGCATCTACTGCCATATTAATACCATGGCGCAGGTCCATTACATTTGAACCAGCTGCCACTGACTTACAGCCTTCAGTAAGTATCGCCTGAGTGAGGACTGTTGCACAAGTGGTACCTGTAGCCAATTGGGGGAATATCTTCCATGATTAGATACTTCTACTTAGGGATGCATCATACAAAGATCAGATATTCATTAATAATCACAAGATCAGATGCTGATATCAGTATCGTAACTTCATAAGCTCTTATTCTATGCATCAAACAATAAATTGAAATGCAGCAATAGCTAGGGGTGGACACGAGTCTAACTATTCGCTATCCATTCAATCTCAGCTCACAAAAAGTTTGATTTAACATGGTACAAATCGAGCTTTGAACTGAGCTTGAGGCCAATATATAGGCTGAATTGCTAATTAAGACAAGCACAAATAGTAAGAAGCTCAGCTTGTGAAGCCCACAAGCCTAATCAAGCTTATATATAATATTTTTAACTTTTCATATGTATAATAAGAAATAAATTATAAATATAATTTTTAAGTTTTTATATGAAGCCTGGCTCACTGTTGAGGTCGAGCCAATCCAAGGTTGAACATGAGCTTTTGAGTCGAGCTGAACTTGAGGTAGTATTTCTAGCTTGAGTCAAGCTCAAGCCCTAATTTGAGTCTTCTGCTTTTCTGTCGAACTGAAAAAATAAATTCAGCTCAGCTCATATCCACCCCTAGCAATAGCCATTGTTGATGACATTGTCAGGGGATGGCAACATGTGGCTTCATCAACTTCAATAGACACAATTCATGCCTTTAGGATCCCCCTCGACAAGGCAGCATAAAACTCAATCCTGATTGATGTAACTTAGGGAACTTGGGGAGAGGAGATCAGGGATTGAAAAAGTATTCAAATTTAACATAGGAGAAATCTTGATCATTTACACTGGTCCCATTGGCACAGGATACTCTGGATATGCAGAGCTGCTCTCCCTTCTTCAAGAGCTGAGATTAGCCAAGTCTCTGGACTAGGAAAGGCTGATTGTAGAGTAACATTCACAGGTTGTTACAGATGGACAAATGGGCAATCAAAGAGATTTATTGTTATACTTGCATGCACCATGAGAGACCAAACATTTGGCATCTAATATGAAGACCTTGTTCAGATGGTGCCCAAATCAGTAAACTCCATAATTGATTCCTTAGTAAGAGAAGCCAATCAGCCAATAGAGGACTCTCATAGTCCATGATGTGTAACATTGGGACTCTCATAGTCTTATAATCCTACTTTTGTTAGCTCTTTCCTTTTTATTCTGATTTTACTACATCACTAAAATTCTGGCTCATCCCAAGTCCCAACTAGACACAGCTGGAAGCATGATGTGGACGCGTATTGGGAGCAGCAGCAGCAATGATCCGGTGTTCTCATCCTATCCAATTCGGCAACAACAGTCTTATCCATTCAGCAGATTAGATTAGACTATCTTGTTATCTTATCTTATTAAGTTAGTAGATTAGATTATCTTATCTTATTAGATT